GATTAAAGTGGCAATCATGACATTGTCAACTCACCACCAATTTGCTACCCTACCTCTGATATAACACAGGGTTGATTTGGACGCATTTCAGGTGTTATATATGTCTTTGGTCTACTTCGGAAGAATCTAATAAAAGTATGTGTAAAGGGTTAGGAATGCAAGTTATGCATCTCACTTAATAAGCAATTTAGGTATGAAACATTGGGCTACTCAAACATATTCTGTAAATACAAACATGTCTGGTCTGTCAAACAGCTCATCTGCCCTTCTGGAGTTAATGATTTTTATTTCATGTACTTTTTTGTGATGTTAATGTGTCTTCACATTGTAGGTCAGCGGCTCGTGAAGCACTGTGTTGACAAACCAGACGATCGAATATGCGAGCACTGTGAGATGCACGTTACCTACAACAGTGACCCTAATTCCCAGGAGACCTGCCTGCCCTGCACCTCCTGCTCACAACCCCATGGTACAAACACACTGGGACAACACTACATTTTTTTATTGACAGCTAAACTAACAACAAAACATTGGCAAAAAAAAAAAAGTCAATTTTGACCTGTATGACAAGCACGCGTGGTACTTGAAACATTACTGAGTTCTCTCTTTATGACAGAGTGAAGGTACAACAGTAGGACCAAACAGTGTTAGCTCTTCATTCATTTTATTCATTACAAGTTATTTTTTTGGCCTCTGTTGGATAGTGTTAGTGAGAGAGAGATAGGAAAGTAGGGGAGAAGAATGGGGGGTCATGAAAGGGTCATGAGCGGGATTCGAACTCATGACCTCCACATTGGGACTGTAGCCCTGCACATGGGACACCAGCTCAACCAGGTGAGCTATAGCAGCGCCCCTACATCTGTATTTTTTAAATTATTTATTTTTTATTGTGACATGACAAAATAGCACACAAAGCAATAATAGTAATGCACTACCTACCAGAAGTTTGTCAAATGTGATGTGATGATACTGCTTTCTTTGTTTGATATTAGTATAAATTACTTAAAGGTGGAAAAGTTCAATTTAAAGACATCACCTTGAAAATGTGACAGGCATTTCTCACATATTTTGAGCATTTTTCTATCTAAGCATGATTAAATAAAAAGGATACTCAAACTAATTGAAAATGAAAACGCATAAAAACAGAGTAAACCCTGGTAGTTTAATGTAACAACAGTGTAAAAGAAAGCTTCAGTGTCCAATTCAACTTTTTATGTATTACAAGTAACACAATGTTTTATTTTTTAACATAGATTAAGTTTTAAGCAGTGTGCAGATCTGTTAGCTCCTCTAATGACATTTGTATAACTTTAATACCTTTTCAGCTAATTTAGAGGAGGACTCGCCCTGTACCCCAGCCAGGAACACAAAGTGCAGATGTAAGGAAAATCACTTTTGCAACAGCGGCACAGAAACCTGTGAAATCTGCCAACCTTGTACAAAGTAAGTTCTGCTCCTTCATGTACAGACTCAACGTAAATTCTGATTTTACAAAGCTTATCCTCAGTCCTGTTGTACTTTGCTTCATTACACTGTTTGTGAGTGCAGTCCAGTGCACCACCACTATCAACTATGACTTTAATAATGAAATATCCTCTTTCTCTACACGTTTCTTAGAAGTGAAATTAATTTGCTGAGTTGTTATATTGGATTGCATTGCATCACAGTTGTTCCTAATAAAGTGTTAAATGAATGTACGGCCCGATCCCAATCTCTGTGAGTTTACGAATGCTTAGTTTTAGAGATGCATTTAAAGATGTTCATGGGTTTCCTGTATTTGCTAGTTCGTCAAAATGTAAAAACACTTCAGTGTCACAAACACAGAGTGATCAGAAAAGCAGCTAATAAAACACCAGTTCAAATTCCTTTTTTAGGTTTTATTGGCGATGTGTTGTTTCCAAGTAACATGTGCTGTCGCCATAATGTGTCCCATTCCTTCTTTTCATACCATTTCAAGCCCTCACATACAGCTGTGATGTCAGATGAGTCTGTAACGGTTTATTATAAGTCCGTAGGGTGGAGATTGGTATTGGACAAATGTGTATAGCATCTTCAAAAATGTCGTCTGTGTCATTAACGTATCAAGTTTTCCTTTAAGAATGGAGGAATCCTTCTTAAAAATGATGGATTTTGTTCTCATTCAGTGTGTCACTAATTCTTGATTTTCTTGTCGTTCAAGATGTGAACATGGCGTTGAAAAAGCATGTACACCCACCAAAGACGCAGTCTGCCACGCGAAAGGCAGCGGTATGTTATAGTGAAATGTTACTGCATGTAAATGAAATGATGATAATTTATGAAGAGAAATTGCAAAATTCTGTTTATAAAAAAAATATATCTGTGTTATTTTTGTGTTTCAGTAAACGTCATAGCTGCTGTCATCATTCCTATTGTGCTGGTTATTGCGGTTGTTGCAGTCATTCTATATTTTCTACGGAAAAAACGACAAAGGAGTGAGTATTTCTGCCACCATGTGACTATGTCAGACCACCAGAGGGCACACAATTCTCATGCATTCCTGGTGCTGAGCAGCACTGAAGTTTTGCTAAGAATTCCGATTTAAACGCAGATTTAGTGTCTAATTAATAATGTTTTGGTGTCGTTTTTTTTTATTTTTAATTTTTTAATCTTTTCTCCTAAGGGAATGAACAGCGGGACCAAGCCCAGCCAAATGACAATGGAACTGCTCAGGTACGTTAATGCCTGACCTGCTGTAAGATAGTAGTGTTATCTGACTGCTGTTGCACACATTTATGTACACATGGACATGAATGATAAACACTTTTCTATCTCTCCTCTAATCTTGGCATAGCTGCCCCTTTATGTAGGAGGGACAGGTTAGTTGTCTGAAACCTTTGGTGTCCTTGCCAGTGGGCTGTTTCTGTGTTAGTGTTGTGCTAAAGCTTGTGCAAACAATTTATTTTATCGTAGTGAAATTTATATTAACATTTCTCTACTTCTGCTTCACAGGAGATGCAGCCTCTTCAAGGTAAGAAAGGCCAAGATATGTTTTCATTGATGCGATATTTGAGCCATAGTTGCTATTTCTTCCTACATGCAGGCAGCTTTCCACTGCAGAAACTTGGGGCAGGAACAAACCCATTATCTGCCTTTTCAGCCTTTTTGTTTTCATTCTGTTTAGTATGGGGGCATTATTGTAGCAAAACTGTTTGTCAATGCGTATGGAGAGTTGTCTGTTTGTATCTCAATCTGTGTGTCCGAAGTGAGAGTTGTCATTGTGTAAAAGATGTTGTCAATGCGAGCCGGAATCTACAAAATACATCTCACAATTTGTCTGTCTGTAATCAGGTTTTCAAATGTGTAAAAAAATCTGCTCATCTGTATTAAAATTCGGACATGTAGTAAGAGTTGTGAATGCATCCACAAAAACAGCAAGATCTTAGCCCATGTGGCTCATTTTGCTTAAAGGCTGCTACTCAAAAAGGCAAAAAAAAAGTCCTCGCTGACCTCTCTGAGTTTTACCAATCAGCATTTGCTTTCTGTGTATTCAAGCAATTAGTATCAAGACCCACACTGCAGTTTTTTAGGGACACTCAGAGGTAAATAACCCAACGTATATACTTTTTTTTTTTCTTCTCCCTTAAAAACACCATGAAAAAGGTTCTACAGGGGCAGTTCTTGTGGTCAGAACACGTACAAAAGTTCAGGCCTGCCTAAGTTCCTGCTGTGGAAAACATGTGGCTTCATTATTTAGCTATTTTGCTTTCTTTTTTGCTTTCTTTTTTGCTTTCTGTTTTTGTTTTGTTCCAACCAAGCCTTTTTTGTTGACATGTTAATAGTTGAAAAGATTCCCTGATTTAAACCAAGCTGTTATTCCAAAGACAAGTAGCAGTTATTTTAATCAAGTCTTTGGTCTATAAAATGTCAGGAAATTGTAGATAAAAAAATGTTGAGCTGTGTTTTCCAAAGCCTGAGATGATGTCCTCAAATGTCTTGTTCTGTCAACAACCCAAAACATATTCAGTTCACTGTCATAGGGGAGAAAAGAACCCGGAAAACTTTTCAAATTTAAAAAGCTTGAATCAGAGAATCTTTTACCTTTTTTTTAAAAATAAAAATACTTGACAACTAATTAATGAATCATCAAAGTTCTAATTGTAGTCTGTTGTCTGTAATTTGATTTACAACAACCTGAACATTTCTTGTACACTTTTTACCATTTTAGTAAAAATTTTACTTCTGCCATTTCTTGAACGTCATTGTTTTTGTTTTGTCTGGAAGGTATCGTCATGTTTCTCAAGCCAGCCAACAAAGTTCTGATCAGCTTTGTCTCTTTTCAAACCACTGTGAAGTCCTGTCTGAATCACTTTTTTCTTTTCCCACGTTTGTTTCAGTTGTTTCAGTTGAGGACCTGGAGCGGCTCCTGCCTGACATTGCACAAGAGCTTGGATGGCCGGTTATGAAAGATGTGGCAATTCGTAGTGGGGTTAGAGACTCTGTTATTGACGCTTGTGTGCGAGATAACCCTAGTAGCACTCAGGAGCAGACGCTCCAACTACTGAAGGAGTATGTACAGATGCAGGGCAGAAATGCCCCCAACCACTTGATCGATACCCTTCAAAGAACCAACAGAAGGGCCATGGCAGAGAGGATCAGGGAAATCATTTTTCAAAGCAACCAAGATGGACAAAACCCTTCTGCATGAATGTGTCTATGTTGAGCAGTTTCTAAATGTATGCAGGGCTGCCTGATGTATGAATTTAGATTTTTAAATATGCCAGATATTTCCGTGGTAAACTTGAGATTTTATCTATTATGTGTCTTCACATGAACTTGTGAAGGAATTTTTTTAACAAGATGTTGGGAGGATGACTGTGACTCATGTGAAAAGAGACTTACATGAAAGAATTACAAGGATCTGCGTCTCAGTCGATGAAGTAACAGACTGAAAAACTTTCTGTCACATTTTCCTTCCAGTTCCGAGTGTGAAAGTGTTATACATACAAATATCCAAATGGATAACTGCGTGCAGTGACGTATTCATGTGCTGATTTAATCATGTTGGTCAGATGCCACAGCCAGTCGTGTCATTCATAAGTGCAGACTACTTTGCAGCTTGTAAATTGCACAATAAGCTTTAATAAATTTAGAAATAGCTGAAAGTGTCACACGGGTTTTAGTTATTATAAGCTGTAATAAAGTTAAGTTCAGTTAATCTGTTCTTAATCTTCAAAAGACTTCATCCTTGAATATCTGCATTTCTAAGAGTATATAACTCCTAAATAGTGTGTAGTTATTGCCATTTTGCCTTTTTTTATGATAAGCTTTGTGTTTAGCAATATTTTCTGAAAATGTCGTAATTAAACTGTGAAAGTACACGTTGACCTGCATCCTCATTATTTTCAAATCTCTTCTGCCTTGTTTCTAAATGTTTGCAACCTAATCGGGTTTTTGGCTCTACAGTTAATCACTGCTCCTATGATTTTGAAGCCGATGATTAATTCCTCAGTTAACTTAATAATCGTTTGGTTCACGAAGGGTCAGAGAACAGAGACGGAATCCTGTCATAATTCACTAAACGCAAAGTTGTTTCGGTTTGACATCACATACCAAAGTGGACCTCAACATTTGAAAAGCTGAAACCAGTAAAGTTTGGTCAGTTTTGCAGTTGTACCCAACCAGAAAATACCGAAGTGACCCATTTTCCTCAGATCCCAAACAGCCACAGACACACATTATTAAGATTTGACATTAATGAGATAACCAGAATCAACAACCCAGAATACAACATCTTACCTACCAGTCTGATATAAACATGATGTCAAAAGAAACGACTTTACACCTTTGCAAACTTTTAAAAGATTAACAAAATCATACATGAGGCATCAGCAGGTGGACAGACTTGATGTAAGTGGGACTCATTCTAATTACAAACAACCATTCACCTGAGGAACAGATTTTCTACTCTTTGTCAGTTATACCACAAAACATGACCACAGCTGGAGCATTTTCTTTTAAAATCTTTTGAAATAACATAGTAATAATCATTACTAATACTTCGTTTCCAGAAAACAATCATGCGTTTCAGGTTTATGCACAGTCAGTGGATTGGAGGAGATGGAAATAATTAGATTTAGCGTCTTGAAATTTGATTAATTGATTAATCGAGCTATAAATAGTCAGAAAATTGTTGAAGTACTGCAGTTCTGAGTCTACTCCCTACATTTGTTGTGTTTTTTTGTTGTACAAAACCTTATTCTCTTTACGATAACACAAGACAAAGAAAAGAAGCAAACGTGCGCTTTTGAGAATCTGGAAATACAACATATTTGACATTTTTGTTAGAGAAAATGAGCTAAACCACTTGTCGGTTCTTCGTGTACATTGACTCTTCTTTGCAGCACTATGCTAAATAAATAAACATAATATCATAATGAATGTGATGGAAATATGATTAAATGAAACTCCCTTCTCATTGCTTTGGTTTAGTTGTTTAACTTGACTTTCACAGTCTTGCACTGATTAGTCAACACTGCCATCACGCTGGACTCTTGCAAGATGATTTCCAAAGAAGTCTGTGGTTTAATCTCTTGTTGAACTTTAAATCAAAGCCTGTTCCGGCACTGAAGGGATTTGTGGTCAGATGCAAAACTATGAAT